GGAAGGTGTTCTTGAACTAGTCATATGCATCTCCAAGTTGAGTTCAGCTCTTTGTGGGAGCCATGAAATGCAATGGCAAAGAGGGACTTAATGGAGCTTACTGGTAGACCACGATTAGCGCTCTTATGCATTGGCAATTATAACTGAAATCCACACCTTGCTATTCTTGCTTTTACAAAAATCTGTATAAGATTTCAATGCACTCAAACTTAAGAACAGCTGATTACTTATGATACTTTGAAGGCAAACTATTAGTGGTATTTTGAGAATATTTTTATGAGAACTTAAGTTTTCACTTACATTTTACATTATGTAATGGGACTCAGTTTTTTCAATCTGCAGATTTGTATTATATTTGTCTGGGACACTACTGGTAAAGGCCTTTTTTCTGCACATAATTATTAATAATACTGTTTTTTTTTTACTCTCAGGAATTTAAAGACAAACCATATAGGCCTGTATAGATAGGTGAAAATGAGCCAATGAGAAGTATTATACATATATAAGTGGTAAAAAAATAAATATGAAGTCAGAGTTTTCAGTAACATCTTTTTCTGTAATGATATAGCTGTTAATGACTTGTATATATTCAATCCAAGTGAAGAAGAGTATCCTTTCGTATGAGGTCACTCTATAAACAAAGCATGATTTTCAAAATCTCATTAGAGTAATTACTTTTTACCATATTTTCTTCAATGCATTGCCAAAGCATTTCTTCACCTAGAAGGATAAGCCTGACATAGGAAGGATTTATTGACTCTGTAGTCTGGACTGTGACATCGTGATGAACACAAGCCCTGCTTCTCACCACTCACACTTCACCTTACAGGGTTGCAGCTGTGCTTAGCAACAGAATGCCAGATGGCATGGGGACATCAATTGATTAGTACTCAAGAACAATGTCACCTACCGAAACAAACCACAGACAAATTGACAAAGACAATGCTATGTTTGCAGGCCTGAATGATGAAGCCCTTTAAATAGGTTTATGCCTGCAGTCTTTAAATGTGTGCTGCTTGGAAAATTTTGTTCTAGGGAGAAGGGAGAATCTTAATTATATAACTATGCGTGTTTTTCTGGGAACTTTTCTTTGATGCTTAATCCTCTTTACTCGCCTGCACATCTATAAGCATAATATAACATATTAAAGCTATTTGTTGTCTGTCACTGCAAATCCAAAATTACCTAAACTCTCTCTTTAAAATGCATCCTTAGCCACCTTATCGTGGGCCAGAGACAATGGCAAATAGAATTACCTAAAGAGTTCTGGAATTCAAAAGCTGTCAGCGTGAGTTATCTGTTCACAAATAATGTCTTTTCTGTATGCCTTGTTTTATAGAAGGCATTTATTATCATGTTTGGCATCGTATGTAGCATACCTTGAATCATTTGCATTCAGACCTTGGATACAGGCTCTACCCGGTTGGCCTTAGAATAGATGCAATGTTTGAAAAGCACACACACCAGGTTATTCAGCTTAATTTCAGTAAGTAAGTCAGACTGATTTTTCAAAAATATTCTTGGGGAACTTTTTGATTGTTGTAGCTTCATCTCAAATTTATGTGAATTGATGCTAGTACAAATAGTGAAAATTCTATTTCAACAAATGTAGTGTACTGCTGCTTTTATAAAATTATGGGTTGCCTGTAACTGCAACCCATAACTTACCTGTTTCAGGTAAGTAGGGTGCATTTACTTAAGTGCAAATATAATATTACTCTGGACTCAAAATTGATCTACTGTCTTGGATTTCTGAGTTACTTTCACTGAAATATTTAGTAAACACAAAGTTTAAGCATATTATTACTGCCATTTTCTACTTCAGTGGTTCTTTCCTCACCTTGACTTTCTAGTTTGATACCTTTGTTCAAAGCCAAGCTTTCTAATCTTCATGGGAGACATTGTCCATGCACATCTTATTTTCATTGAACTTGACCCTGACATTCACTCCCGAACTGCTGTCTGCTCAGCTGCACCTACCTGGTTTGGCTTCATTTTAGATCATCGGGCTGGTACTCACAGGTGATGACTAGATAGCTCCCCACTGTCTCACATCACAGTTACCAGGTTCTGCTGCTCCCTGTTTCAACTTGGGGCACCTTGCATCTACCATTTCTCAACATTGCCATGTTCTTAAAGAGCACCTGTAGCTCTTGCATGTTTCAAGAAAGCTCTGTTCAGCTCTCTCTCTGCCTATGAATGTCAACCTGCTACTTCTACTTTTCTGTTGCTCTATCGTGCCTCAGGCACCAGGTCTCCCCTTTTAGCTTGTTCTTTGCCCTATCTTGCATTTATTTTTATCCCCCTTCCCACGTCACCCCCATCACCCTGCTACAGAAGTAAGGGTGTTGGCCCCTTATCAGAGGGCTACCCAATATCTTAACAAGCTCTCTATTCTATATATTTATATTTCCATCACTGCTTACACATTTACTTACTTTCTAAGCCACAGTAAATCTGTCTTAATTTTTATATATATCCTTTCTACACTTTGGCTTTGACAAAAAGCTATTCTCAGATTTCTAAATTCTATCTTGATATTTGAAAAGAAATTTCTATAAAGTAACAAAAAAGCAAATTCTATTATTTTCCTGTAGACTAAAAAAATACTTTCTGATGTGAAACCAAAAATTGATCAATAAATACTTTATTTAGGCTTTAAATGAATTTCCTCTGATACAATGTATATTATTATTTCAATGGGTATGGAAGTTATGATACAACTGAGATAACAGTAGAATACTGTTTTCATCTGCAAAAATATTACTTCAATTTCATCCTATCCCAGTAAAATGTTGTTTCCTTGAAAAAGACACTTAATCTTATATAAAGATGTCATTTCATTATAGAAATTGAAAGCTAATGTTATCAACTTAATTTTTCTGTTACTTACCATGCTTCCAAAATGGAAACAGTAGAAGACACTGTGTCTCAAATAAATTGTGCATGGGAATCACCAGAAGGGCTTGCTGCAGCAGATATCTGGGCACTACTCCCAGAGGTACTGATTCAGTAGGTTTGCAGTAGGAGCAAGAATGTTCATTTCCTTCTCTAGTAAGTTTGCCAGCAGCACAGGCAAAGTTTTCTCTGAGCAATTGTCTATTCAATTGTGAGTCACAATTGCATCTGATATAAGAGTGATGCCAGTGTCCTCCCATCCTGAAATATGACAAGAGTCTGTTCTCACTTCCCAAGACATCTCCAAAGTGACCTAGTGTCCACATTACCAGCTACACATGTTCTTCCTGTCCTGCTTCTAGAGACCAGCCTTGCAACCTCTTCAAATATTCTTTAGGCCACAAAACTTAGGAACTGAGCTGTACAAATTTGTATTATATACCTGAAAAGAGGTTCCAAAATTCAGAAAGATGCTTTCAAGGTTTTTTTTCTTTTTTTTAATCCTCACCCTAGGACATGTTTGTTGTTGTTTATTTTTTTTATTTGAGAGAGAGAGAGAGATCAAGGTGAGGAACATTGATGAGTTGTCACCTGTATGCATTCTAAATGGGACTGAACCCACAACCTAGGTATGTGCCTTGACCAGGAAATGAACTGCAACCTTTTGGTGTATTGGATGACACTTCAGCCAACTGAGCCACCTGCCCAGATTATTTTCTATGTCCTTTCTTTCTTTTCTTTCTCCTTTCTCCTCTCTCTCTCTCTCTGTCTCTCTCTCTCCTCTCCTCTCCTCTCCTCTCCTCTCCCCTCCTCTCCCCTCCCCCTCCCTCCCCCTCCCCCTCCCTCCCCTCCCCCTCCCCTCCCTCCCCCTCCCCCTCCCTCCCCCTCCCTCTCCTCTCCTCTCCTCTCCTCTCCTCTCCTCTCCTCTCCTCCTCCTCCTCCACCTTCTCCTCCTCCTCCACCTTCTCATCCCACTTTCCCTTCTCCTCCTCCTCCTCTCTCTTCTTCTTCTGAATAATCAGTTTCTTCTTCCATGTTTTACTGTGGTTCTCCCCCTAAAGCATTATGACCTTGGGTTCAAATGACTGTGTTTCTAACTCTCTCTCTCTTTCCCTCTCTCTCTCTTTACCCTAAGGGTTGGTAATAACTCTCTCATGCTGACAATAGTCTCCATAAGCAACAGGTCTTGGATGTTCACACATTCATTTCTGAGCAGCTGAGTTCTTTCCTTATATATCACTCCAACTTCATACATTTTCTGGTGTTATTAAAAAGATTTACAAGAGGTCTAGAAGTAAATATTGAAGCTCCCACATTTGTCATTTTGAATGGTGCTCTAAATTCTTGCCACATAAGCAAGAATCTTCTCTTTGTGATGACTCATGGGCAACCTTGAGGAAATTGTTGATAATGGCCTTTATCAGCCAACGAGGAGAAGAAGTTGTAACCTATGTGACACCTCCACCCAGCACTTATGAGGCATGCCTTCATGTGGGAGCTGATGTGCCTCAATCATGGTCATGGATCCCATTAGCTCCACAATGACAGTGTGACCCAGGCTGGCTAGGCTTATCATGCGGCATTTCTTTCTCCATGTACAGCCTCCAGAAATCTTATTTCTTATTGCAGTGTTTGGTGTCTTCTTCCAGACCTCATTCCAGGCCAAATGAGATCATCTTTCTGGGGTTCAAAAGCCTTCCTCTGTTACCTCTCCAATTCTTGTTGTGACATAAGCTCACATTTTACCATGTTAAATGCATAGTAACTCCACTTTTGCTTTCTAGGAATATTTTATTCTCTTCATAAAGCTCAAACTTTATAATCAAAAACTTGGACTTTGAAATAGACTTCTAAAGCCTATACTGTAAGGGTATCTTTCTTTTTTTTTCTATTCCTCCATAATAAACTAAATTTCTTGAAGCAATGTGCATAACCCAGGTGGAATCTGTATCTTCTGTAACTAAGGCACATCAATTGTTTGCTCTAATTGCAGATAAAGACTAGCCAAGGTCTGATAATTAATGTAAAATGCCAAAAACAGTATTTCAGTAAACAATGCTTCATATCAGACACATGCCAACATTTTATAAGAGGATACTGACCTCTGAGTTGTTAAAACATGATAATCCAGATTATCGTTTCCTTCTGTGATAGACGCAGCATTTTATTAAACATCCAGGACCAGTGCTTAACCTGGTGATTTGAATATAAAAGTCTTAATATATTTTGGTTGAACAGATTAACAGAAGACAGAGATGTACACACTAAAGACATCTTGGTCACTTTAACGTTTTACATTCATACAGAAAATGGCAATGATATGAGGTTCCGGGGGTTAATTTATGGCAGAGGTTCTTAAAGTTTGGGAATTTGGGATACTTTTATATCCTTAAAAATTTTTGAGGATTCCAAATAGCTTTTTATATGACTTGTAGCTATTAATATTTACAATGTTAGGACTTACAACACAAATTTTAACATATTTATTAATTCATTTAAATAGATATAAACACACTATATGTTTGGTGTTTTTCCTCTTTTTTAAAAAATTGTTGCTCAAATACAGTTGTCTCACAAAATAAATAGATTTTTCAGATCGTAAACAAAGTTAATCAGAAAAGTAGCATTAACATTTTTGAAAATCTTTTAAAAGTTTGTCTTAATAGAAGATAGTTGGATTCTCATATCTGCTTCAGATTTAATATGTTGTAATATCACATGTTACATGGCCTCTGGAAAGTTCCACTGTACACTCATGAGATAGTGAGTGTGAAAAAGGCAAATGAGGTCTCAGTGTTATGAAAATAGTTGTGACCTTGTAGAACCCCTGAAAGGGTCTCCATAGAAACCCAGGGATTTCTACACCATATTTTGAAAACTGTTAGTCTGATCATTTCTTGGTTGTTTTCTTGTTTTGTTATAGCTACTAAACACAATACCTCAAAATAAAGTAAATAAGTAAAAGTAAAGAGTAAAGAAAAATTAAGATACAAAGAAAAAATGTTTTTTCTCCTCATATCTATTTAATCTATCCTTTGAAAATTTTTCTGTATATTTTTAACACTTTTCTTAACAAAACTATATTTAACTTGAAATATAAACTGAAGGAAAAAAATACAGCTTCCACAGTTTTCTATTGAACCAATAAATTATTATGTTCCTTTAAATCAGAAAATGACTGTTTATGGGCCACATTAAAGAAATAAAAATATTAACAATTTGTAAGTTCTAGTTTTAGTATTAACTGTCACAATTTTCTCAATGCAAGTCCCTGAGAGTATTTAAATTTTTTAAATGGATACATAAAATTTACTTATGTCTCTAAAAATACACCTTTTTAAACAAATCTCAAATGTACGTAGTTAAAGAGTGCCCATAATTTATCTCAGAAATGTAAAACTGAAAGACAGTTGATGCATAATTGGAATCACAATTCATCCCTATTGTTTCCTGGATTTAAAGTTTATTGATGACTCCTAATACAAGGAATATGTAGACAAATGAGAATTTCTCATATGTAATTTTGAAATATCTTAAATTAGTTGACATAATTAGTAATATTTATATATGTTCCCTATGGTTCCATATCTACTCCACAGAATTTTTAGAAAGTGTCTACATGGCAATTTGTGAGCAACAGACACACACAGAGACAAAGAGACAGGCTGTAAATATAAGGGATGGATTAGAAAATGCTAGGTCCTATGTATGTTCCCACAGGTAAATCGGAGCAGCCCTAAAACTGTGTTCACATTTGATACTCAGACACCAGAATATTAGAGAGTTAGATATTCCATAATTAAAGAACCAAGAAGTAGATCGTTATGATACATGTTTCTGTCAGTGATTCCTATTCATATTATATCAAGTGATCTATCTGCCTTCCTTGGGAATCATCACTCAACCTTCTAAGTCACTAGCTCCCTGTCAACATCATCTTAAAGCACTTTATAGCTCATGTTGATTAGGTTTGTGGCTTTAGAATACATACATATATACACACACACACACACACATATACATATACATGTATACATATATTTGTCTGAATTGTCTGTTTTACCTGGTATTCTGTAACCTGCATTTCAAGGAGAATTAACATAGCACCACAATTCACATGTCTTAATACAAATATCTTATTTTTTACTTCAAATGGTATTTTCTCCATATAACAAGATGAAGTTTTTCTCCTGAGAGACTGGAGAGTTCCATGACTAAAAATTAAAATTGTATTGAGATCTGTAAATCCAGTTTTGTAAATACCCTTAAGCCCAGAGTATGTTTCACTTCTTTGGTTAAAATGAATGAACTCTAAATTAATATTTTCTTTCAAAAATTTAGCTGAGAAACATTTAACCCTAAAGCTTAAAACCACCAAATATAACAAGTCCATTTTGTGGGGAATATATCACCCTTAAAGCAAAGCACAACATAGCACTAAACATTACTGAAAGCAACCGCACCATATCAATGCCTTTCACAACAGAAGGCTGTGTCCTTCTCTGAATGTACAAGTGGTATGTGATCATGAACATCGCATTATAAGCATCTGTGCAAAGTTCCCAGATTCATGCCATGATTTCTACATATTGGATAATTTATCATAGTGCCATCTGTTTCAAAAACATAGTTGCCAACATAGATGGATTATCAAAAAATACATTATTTTGTCTTTATGTAAATGCTTCTGACGATATGTGCATGCAAATTCTGCTGAGATCATTAGCTTTTAAAGGCAAAATAGCATTGTAAAGATGGCATAACCATAAAAATAAATATAATTTCAATCAAAGCAATAACTAAACAAAAATCATCACCAAGTATCAGTCATTCTGATCAGTATATGAAAAAAAATGTTTGATAATAACAAAATAATTTGGGGGAGGGAATCTAGATGTTTTTCCTCTCTCTCCCATTTGCATTTGGTATCCTTTGAGCATAAACTTATTTCCTTAGAATCAAAGTGTACATACATGGTTGGTTATTTTGTTTATAAATACAAGTGCTGTCCTCTAACACTAAGGATTATGTTGTAAGTGATCAACAGTGGAAATAGAAGGTAGCTACCTAAACTATTACATATCACAATTTTTTCGAAGCATAACCTTAATTGTAGCTCATAGAAATTCTGACTAAAATGGGTTTTGAAGTCAGCGAGTCCAATTCCTTTTTATGGTTGGAAAATTGTTATCCAAAGTAGTTAAATATTTACTATGAGAGAAATAGTTGTATTAGTCAGGGTTCTCCAGATAAACAGAACCATTAAGATATGTATGTATATACAATTTTATTTTAAGAACTTGGTTCACATGATTGTAGAAGTGCAAGGCCAAATCATCAAGACAGGTCAGCAGGCCTGAGACCCAGGGGAGGATCACAACCCAAGTTCCAAAGCAGCCTGCTCACAGAATTTCTTCTTGCTCAGGGAAGGTCAGTCTTTGTTTCATTTATACCTTCAACTTTTTGGAAGAGGTTCATCCACATTATGAGGCTAACCTGCTATGCTCAAAGTTCAATAATTTAAAAGTTAATCTCATCTAAAAAACAGCATCACAGAAATCTCCAAAACAATGTTTGGTAAAACATCTGGACTCCAGGGCCCACACAAGTTGACACACAAAAAGAAATGATCACGCTAGTGTATATGCTGTGCCTTCAGGGTTCTATGAACAATGATCAGGGAACTGTTTGGGTAGTTCCACAGTATTTATTACACACCACCTACCCTTTAATGAGTCTGCTATGAGACTGTTCTTTTTAAAGTGCATTTTAAAAAGGTATTAAGTATATAACTTCTTTATCAACTGAACTAAGATGATCACTATATTAAATGACCAGTTTAAGGATGTTACATAAATATTAAATAAGAAATTTGTCTAGAATTTTCACACTGCTTATGAAATTTAAGTCTGATCTCAACTCTAGGTCTATTTTGAAACTAAAAGAATCTTAGTGTGTTAGAGTAAAAAAAAATTACACAAATATTTACACCACAAATCACAAATGTTGAAAGGAAGCTTCTCAAAGAGACTTTTTTAATAGTTACTGTGTTTTATTTTACTTTTTTTTAAATCATTCTTTTTTTCATAGTCTTTTTTTAAGATTTTATTTTTAGAGAGAGAATGGAGGGAGAAAGAGAGAGAGAGAGAGAGAAACATCAATGTGAGGTTGCTGGGGGCCATGTCCTGCAACCCAGGCATGTACCCTGACTGGGAATCGAACCTACAACACTTTGGTTTGCAGCCCGAGCTCAATCCACTGAGCTATGCCAGCCAGGGCTTATTTTACTTTTTTAAATTTTTCTTTTAATAGCTGATCAAGTACAGTTTTCTGCCTTTTACCCCATCCCAGCCCTCCCCACAGCTTTCCCCATCTCCCTCCCATTTCCGCCCCTCCATGTTATTGTCCATGTGTCCTGTATACTTGCTCCTGCAAACCCTTCCCCTTTCCCTCAGAAATTCTCTCCCCTCTCCTCTCCGGTTACTGTCAGTCTGTTTAACTAAAGGTAACTATCCATCCTTAATACGCCATTATTTTATATTTCTGTATCTGTATCTTTGCTATTCCTTCTCTGCTTCTCAACACATGCTTACTCTCTAAAACAAAATTTAACTATCTCCTGAGCTTGTAATTATGTTCTGGTGGCTCCCCTCCTCCATGCTCCCAGAGCAACTTGCATGTATCTCAATCCCACCCCCTCCTGTGACATAGTTTGGAAGCTTAGGTGAATCAATATTATTTTGCACAATAAATATTCTAACATATTTTGTTCTTTATGACAACTATATATTTCTGAAACTATAAAAAGAAAACTTTAAATATTTTAGGACTAGTCCTGGGCAGTTTTATTAAATGAAATAGATAGGATTCAACCTTTTGATGAACATAAGTCTAGATCTCACTATGATGTCTGTATTTGTTAATGCTTTTTATTTATTAGAAAGTAATACCTGTCCCATGTTATATTTTAAACTCAAATGTAAAAAAGTTTCACAGTTTTCTCATTTGCAAACAGTGAAAGCAGTGGCTTTTTATTTCAACATTAATTTTAATCAAGGTTGAATCAAAACGTTAGGGATGTATAATATTTATCACTCTAGTTGTAAAATATTTGATAAAAGGTATTGTGTTTTATTCACCCCTTTATTGGTGGCACATGTCATCTGTTGTCATAGGTACTACTCAGTGCTTGC